TCAGATCACACACACACACACACACACACACACAGATGCACAAAATTGAAATTACATTTGTGTCTATTTCTATTATATCCCTCTTCTTACTTTGCCATTTACTTTGTGGTAAATATTTAGGTGTCACATGTGAGCGAAAAGCATGCTTCTTTTTCACTGTGGTACAAGTTTAATATATATGTAGTCAAAGTATTTATATAAGGTCAAAATACGTAAGGTCAAAATAGTTCTTTTCATCTGCAAATTGTTGAATTGTCAATCATCACATCCCTCTGAGAATGTAAATACAGTGAAAACTACACAAAAATCTTTCATGAAGTTGAACAAATATCCACATTGCTTCTTGAAAATGAATAAGCTACAAATTACACATACACAGAATCATTCCAATGGCTTTGCCTACAGGGCTCCAAATGTAAGGGAAGCTCCCAACACGCACTAATGACATCACTTACAGACATGAGTCAGCACATCCAGAACTCCTTCCAGCCCACATGCCCACATCATCTTCACAAAGGAGAGAAACATCTGCCTTCCAAAGGTCCCAATAACAAGCAAATCACGTTGTTTCAAATTGACACAGTGACTAATGTCATTAAAAAATTTACTGTGACAGATTTACATTTCACTTGCCAAGGCTTCATAATATCTATGTTTTGGCAAAACCTGGTGTATATTATGGCATAAATTCTGAACTGGCACAGTGACAGCAAAATAACGCTACAGTCACTTAAGTATTTACTTGACAATTCAATAGTATCTGATTATAATTACTATTATAGCATATGGTACTTTAAAAAAGATGGCCTGTGTACTATTCTCTGGTAAGACACTCATAATTGTACTTATTCTGAGGGGGATGAATGAATTACCTAATGAACGCTGTGCAAATACATACAATTTACATGTTTCTCCCAAGATGAGGAGATTTTGTATTCCTTATACAGGCAAAGCTGAGCCTGGAGACACTGGGCTCACGGCTGAGGAGCAGAAAGGGACTGACAGTTGGGAAACACAGAGTGATTACTGAATTAGCCGTCAAAATGAACCAGGTAGGATTATGAAAAACAGCCAGAATAATGTGAAAAATGGATGAGAGGGTGTTAAAAAAGAGGAAGGTGCTCACCAGGAGAAGGATGGTTGCGGTGGCTCTGGACTCAGGGGAGGACCGGGATGAGACGTGGGTCCTGTGAAGGTGCTGGACCCTCTGCTGGTGCCTGTGCAGGATGAAGAGCATGGAGCGCTGGCCCCGAGCATGAGCACAAAACATAAAACATCAGGGGTTGACAGCAATGCCGCATATAATGCATCTGCGATTCTGTCATGACGAACAGCAGAACAGTATCCAAAACTTTTCCTGTTTGTGATGTTGTTATTGTTCACATTGCTAGACAGAAACATACAACAAATGACATTTACCAGCATTTGCAGGATCCAGTACAGGAACATTGAAGAGAAAATGTACGTGGGAGCTTTCCCTTTAAGGTGCGCCCACCTGGAGTTCATGGGACTGATGGTGATGGCCTGGAAGACGCTCAGGAGGCAGGTGGTGCCAATGGACACACTCCTGCCTACTCCACATATATAGTAAAACAATCTGCATCCAAAATCAGTGAAAACATGATACCACCCAAAAGATGACATTGTAATGGTGATGCCATTAGAGGATAGGATGAAAGTGTTGGCCACAATCAGGTTCACGACAATGAAATCCGTGGACCTCAGCCTGCACCCAGTGCAATAAAGGAAGACATAATGGTAAAGCAGAAATTCCCCAGGAATCCGGTTGTAGTCTTTAACATGAAGATTGTCCCTACCGCCATATCCCTGGGGGATATCATGTCTGTTCTCAGTGACTGACACTTGTCTTCTGAGCTGGAGGACCCTGCATGGGAATATGGGTCTTAAGCCACATGTATCATGTCACCTAAACCCAATGTTCTTACTTACCTACAGTCCTATTTGAAATAGTGACTGAAGCTTCTGCTGTCATCTGGAGGCTTCCAAGAGGTGAATGTGTAACCATTAGAGAACACTTGCAAAGCAGGAATCACTGCTGCTACAGCCACAGGAAACCATTTCTTCATCCCTCACACTCATGGGGGCGGCACCTTCTCATTTCTTATACAGATGAGGACCACACGGGCACAGAGAGGTTCAGGGTGTTGTGTAAACTCACTCACTGGCTAGGGGCACAGTGGGGATTTGAACCTGGGTGAGCAGGAAGACAGGCAGAGCATTTAGTCCATAATAGACTAAAGTGCTCGTTAGCTGTGCTCTTCAAATGAAACAGATCTCAATTTAGTATTGTTTTTGTACCTTGTGGTTTCCATTTTGATTGCTGAATTTATTTCAAGAATCTAATAATGACAAGTGTGCACTTAAGAAGACTTACTTAGGCCGGCCGAATGGCTCAGTTGGTTAAGAGCTCGCTCAAGAGTTTGAGCTCTGAGCAACAGCGGTTCGAGGCCAGCCCGAGCTGAGCAGCCGCTAAGCTGCCAATAGGTAGCAGGATGGCTCAGCTTAAAAAAAAAAAAAAAAAAGAAGACTTACTCGCTAAGCAAATATGAACTCTGAATAAAGTTTTAGAGATCTTCAAAAACTTAGATGGACCTGGATGCAGTAATAAACTGCAGGGACCTGACCAGTGACAAGTTGGGTTAATGAATGCAGAATGGCACAATATTAGGATGGCAACAGAAGACTCATTTGATTTGTTCCAAGGAAAAAAGTACAATAGCACAACTCAGAAACATTGATGCCTGATAAATATTGTAAGGTAGAAACAACATTATTGCTAATTTCAGATCACACACACACACACACACACACACACACACATATATATATATATATATATAGATAACTGAGATCAATGAAATCATTAGTAGCAAGACAAGGTTTGTATGAAAGATAGTAACATACATGGCACATACGCAAAATCGAATGTTAAGACAAAATTCTTGTGAGTTTTATAAATGACATACATTGCTAGACTGGTAGTATAATATTTAAGAACAGCAGAAATATCACAGTATAATTTTCAGGCAGAAAATAATATCTGAAACTTTTCAACTTGTAGTTTTCTTAAATGCTACTTCATTAACATTAAATAAAAAACTCTCTCCATGATCAATAGTCACAATGATTAAAGCTATTATGCAGTAATACACCCAGAGTCACAGTAAACATTTCCACTCCAGCATCTGCTCTGAGACACACAAACTGCCCTGGGTCAGATGATTCCTACACATGGAAAAGCACAGACGTATCATGGGTGCAGCTCTAGAAACTGAAAATTATGTCTGTGACACCTGCAAAGTTGGCTGTCCAGACATGACCAAAATGGCAGTCCATAAAAAACACTAAAAATCGTGATTCACGGTTATTGCATTAAACACAACCAGGACTGGCAGTGACCACGACACTGCATTACATCAGCAGCCATCTGGGGACACGTCCAAGTCCCATCTCTCTTCACCAGCTCAGCTCCAGACCAGGAGTCCCTTGCTGCCTGTTGCCGTACAGCCTCATCCTCGACTGCCCCCACACACCAGCCCCTGACCTAACAAGGTACGAGGGGGTGTCTCGGAAAACTGAGACCCGGTGGAATGATATCGGTAAACCTTCCTCAAGGGAGTGTCCTGGAAAACTGGGACCCAGCGGAATGATGTCGGTTATCTACCTTACTTCATGGCTGCAGCAACAGCTGCACCATCCTGGGGTTGTGTGTGTGGGAGTATGAAGGCACAGCATGTGTTGGAATACAATGGGGCTGGTTGATGTAAACTGGCCTTAAGGCACTTATCACATGGACTTTAGAAAAAATAAAAAAGTTTTACTCCTTTGAAGTTTCTTAATAAAAGCTTCACTTTTATTAGGCACTCACTTCCAGAGAGAGAGAACTGCAGCCCCCTGGCCTCATGTCTTAAATCTATCTTTGTCTCTTGTATTTCTTTAACCCTGTGCAGTCCCCTCTCACTCATCACTGCCTGTGCTGCGCAGGACGCGGCACCTGCCCACTTTGGTGTTGGACTAAGTTCACTCCCAGAGATTCATTTGTCCAGAGTGTTCACTTACCATGACTCCTGACACAACACCTTCCCTCACAGATGCTTTCTCTCAGACTGATAATGAGAAAACCTACTGATATCTTCCAGCTACCTGAATGCTGTCTAATCATAAAGTCAGCACAGCAGGTATGTGTGGGAGAGAGGCAGCCAGACCCTGAGATATGGGATGTGATCTGTGTCCTCCGGTCCCCTCAGAACTGCAATTATCACCTCACCTGCAGCAGCACTGGCAGTAACAGGCTTGGGAGCTGAGGACATTTTTGATGCTAATTGCCAACCACATCTCCAAGTTTCCATCCAGCATCTCTTAGGAGACTGCTGGAGTGTTTGTGAAAATTTTCTTCTTTACCATGATCGCTGGAGACACACGGGGTCTCCCATGGAGGAGAACAGGGAATGTTGAGATCTAACCCCTGGGGGACTGGTGTAGTTTACACATTTCACTGGGGGTTCTGCTTCCCTGGAAGTTCTACCCAAAGTGAGTTCTTTACTTATTTTCTTACAGATGAACCACACCATCATTGACCTATGGAGCAAAGAAATGGAATGAGTCAAAATATCTTAGATGAATTAAAAAGACGGACAGGAAACAGGAAAAACATGAGATAAATAATGTACATTAGATATCATTGTACTCATTTGTTACAGCCAATGTTGATTTATATGAAAATTATGGAGAAATGTACTTTACCCATATAAACCCCCAATCGTGATACGAGCTATATGAGTATGCAGAACAATATCCATAAAACGAAGAAAGAAGGTTCTACAAGGGCCTGTCACATCTAAAAGCACCAGGATGAGAAGGAGTAACAGAGGTTCTACAATTGCCATGACTATCAGGCAAACCCATTCTTCATACAAAACTCAACAGCATCCAGTGGTGGCCACAGGGCTCTACGTTTACTTTTTGCATAATTTCAAGTGATGAGCACTTGTTACTTTAAAACTTAGAAGCAAATTAAGAGCTGAAATGGATATTATGGTTTTTCTTACAAATCCACAAAATAATCGGTTTTTCTACACAAATACCCCAAAGTTTTCAGTCACAGGGTTGAGCAAAAATGGTAGGCCATCCAGACGACACATTCACAGGAATTCATTTGCACAAACTCGAGTGCCATTACACAAGTGCATGCACACACACTCTCACACTGAAATACATAGTCACATACATACCGGCGCACATACATAGTAACTCACATACACAATTTGAGGTGTGCAGTCTCTGCAGAAACAGAGCAATATCTGTAGCTGAAAGACAGAAGGTTCCAACAAAAGTCCCTCTCAAATAGAGCTACAGGATCACACAGTTCAACAAGCACATTCTGCCATTCTTTTAACTTTCTGATGAGCCAATGCCATTTACTTCACACAAGATGATCAAATGGTCAATACAGTCCTCGACAATATGTTTTTTGCAAAATTTTCAGTAAGGAACTACAATTGCTTTTTCAATTAAGAAATACATTTCTGATGGTCTGTCATTACTACCTACCAGAGACGCCAAGAATGGAGACAGATGCAATGCAGAGAACAGGGAAGAGCACAGACAGCTAAGTCTGACTTCGCATCCTTGCTGACTTCAGTCTTTTATTAGAGATAAAAGAAGAACAGGTGGTAGGAAATTACAAGCATGCCTCCAAGGCTAAGGGGAAAATGCTTAGTCTAAGAGTTGTTTTTTAGCTCAAAAGGAGCAAAACAGTTTCAAGGACTTTGGCTGAGCGCACATTATTTTCAGTGTGGCAGGCATCCAGCCTCACTCGGTGAACCCTTAGTTGACCACCGAACTTTTGCTTCAGACAGCAACTTTACAATCTTGATTCTGGGGGCTCAGCTGACAGCTGAGCTTTTGCTCAGGCAGCAACTTTACAATCTTGGTTCTGGGGGCTTATGTGGGGAAGTCCTTAATGTGTCCCTACATCTTCCCCTTTTCTTTTTAGAGAGGGAGAGAAAGCTCCAACAAAGAAGATTGTTCTTTATTATGGGGCATATCAAAAAGGAGTGTAGGGCTGGCCAAGTGGCACATTGGTTAAGAACTGGCTTGGGACGTCAGAGAGCCCCAGTTCGGATCCCACATATGAGGACCAGTGACACTGCCCTCTGCAGCTAAGATGCTGAACAACAGCTCAACCTGGAACTGGGCTGCCGTGAGTCGCCGGTGATTGGCATAGGCTGCAGCCCCTGCTGCAGTGGGTTGCCATGGTCTACCGTGTGTAGCCAGCAGCCAGTGTGAGCGGCCATCCAGAAGCCTGCGACTGATCTGCCTCACAGCTCAATGATGGTTCCAACTTGGGCCAGTGAAGCAACGTCCTCCACAACTAGACTGAAGAAGAAAACGACAGCAACTTGTCTGTTCCCCTTCCCTCAATTCCCCAGCGCTGTTCCCATCCCCCAATTCCCCAATAAAAATCTTAAAAAAAAAAAAAAGGAGTTTAAAGTTAGGTAAGAGTAGAGCAGTATCCAGGTGCGGGGGCTACTGCAGTGTGATGAGAAATGCTTCTGCAATGAAGAGCCTTTGCATTATCTTGATGATGCGGCAGAGTCCTATGAAAACACTAAGAAGGAGAATGAGAAGTCCCCCAAGCATTGTTCATAGGCTTAGGCCTATGCTGCGAAACCAATTAGAAAGATTAAGCCAATTAAGGGCCGAGTAGTGATCATCTATGGTAGCATTTTTGTTTTTATTGTAACCTTTTTAATTGACTTTGTAGTTGGAACTGGAGGTCAGAAATACTATGTTGTACAGGATTTTTAAAGATGCCAGCAAGGTGTTTTTGGACCTCATCCCGTGATTGATTGTTACTGAGAGCAATGGGAGTCACACACATGGTGTGAAAGCCAGCGTCGCAGGTTAATCGCTGGTAATTCCAGAGGGCCTCTTGGCGTTCTCCCATAAAGGGAACAGCCACCTTAAGAGTATTGAGACATTGTAATATTTCTTGGTCAATGACTGTTTGGGAATGGAGTTCAGTGGTAATGTTTTGAAAGTAAGAATTTATTTGAGCGGCCATCTAAATAGATTTGGATAGGGTGACAGCCGCTGTGGCCGCAGTTGCAGCCAATTTCCGCCTGTCCAGGCAGTTTCTTTAGAAGAGAAAGGGGGCCCTGGATCAGCCAAGAGAAAAGGCTGGAAGACTAGAATGTGAGCCCAATATGTGTAGTTACTAAAGTTTGGGTTGAATAGCATGATGAAAAGGAGAAGGAAGAGGAATCGACTTACCTTCGAGTTGCAGGTGACACAGGAAAGTATGACTAAAAAGAGAATGTATTTATACAGAGAAATTATTTGAATTGATTTATTTACAGTCTTTTTTAATTTTTATTTTATTGCCTAAATATATAATAGTTTATATAACAGTCAATATTTACTTGAATTGATCACCATTATAAATCTGCCATGACACGGGGCTTTTATTCCTCCCCCCTTAGAGACTGTAATTTTATCTAAACAGAAATACTTTACAGTAAAAGATTTATCAGCCTATTTCCATAGTATGAATAAATCCACCAAAACTGATGTAATATTGTCAAATTTTTAACATATCTCATTGTTTTTCATCAAACCCATTATTTGCAGGTATTGTAAACCAAGGCAAATAAAGTTCACATCCCCCAAGCCTTCTACAACTTACTACACACTCTCAAGTTTAGCTTTTACTATGTCTTTTTATGTTCTGGCACAACCAGACTTTTTTAGTTTAAAACAAAACTACTCTTTTTTTAGTTCCTTCAAAAATGTATTTCCACCACTGAGCTGCCAACAGGTGGCAGGATGGCTTAGCTTAAAAAAAAAAATTTTATTTCCATACCTTATACCTTTCTTGAAAACATACATTATTATTTTATATTAATTAGAGTCTATAACCTTTATAACCTTAATTTTTACTGATAGCCAAAAGTAAGTAATTAGCACTTTTTTCGGTAAATTGAGGAATATATTTTGTAACCTTGAAAAGCATAGGCTTTTGTAAAGTAACATATAATATAGTAACAGATCCTAATTTATCTTTTAACGTTCTTGTGACACGAAGCCAGAAATAAACTTAGACCTATCCAATAATTGATATTTCAGTATTTCATTATTTTGAAATACCTATTAAAATAGTTAAGAACTTTTATTACTTAACACAACTTAGTAAAACTAAGAAACCAGCCTTCGTATCAAATATTTTCTTAGATCACATGATCCTGAGAAATAGTTGAGTTAGTTTTTATTATCTTAATAAGGTGCTTAATCTCTTATTTTTAGCTAATCAAATATTATAAACTAGTGATACCATCCAGAAGCAAAAACATTATAATATATATAAAACATAGACAAGTATAGACCTTAGACACTATATATATATATATATATATATATAAACAGAGCTACTAACATTTGTAGAGAGGACCTAAGATCTTATAGTTGTCCTTATAACTTTAGGAGGCTGTAATAAGGAGTGGGGGGGCTTGCTGCCTGGGTTTAAAAGTGCCTCTTTTTTCTCTTCAGTTACCTCAACCTTAAACAGAGGCTGCAGCAACCCTTTGTTTACATTTGAGGTTATCTGTAAAACCTTGAAAGTCACTGAGAGTTAGAGAAATCTTTTTTTTTTTTTTTAAGATTTTTATTGGGGAATTGGGGGGATGGGAACAGCGCTGGGGAATTGGGGAAAGGGGAACAGACAAGTTGCTGTCGTTTTGTTCTTCAATCTAGTTGTGGAGAATGTTGCTTCACTGGCCCAAGTTGGCACCATCATTGTGCTCTTCTCTGGTGAGGCAGATCAGTCGCCGGCTTCTGGACGGCCGCTCACTGCGGCTGCTGGCCGCTCACGCTGGCTGCTGGCCACACACGGTAGCCCATGGCAATCCACTGCCACAGGGACTGCAGCCCACGCCGTCGCCGGCGACTCATGGCAGCCCAGCTCCAGGTTGAGCTGTTGTTCAGCATCTTAGCTGTAGAGGGCAGTGTCACTGGCCCTCATATGTGGGATCCGAACCGGGGCCCTCTGGCATCCCAAGCGAGTTCTTAACCATCGCGCCACTCGGCTGGCCCTAGAGAAATCTTTTAAGACTTATTTTTGTTAAGTTCCTGAATATAGAGTTGGTGTACCAAACAATTTTAAATATATGACTTTGGGGGCTCACAGAAATTATAGATAAAGAGCTTCCGATCAGCTTGGTGTCTAAGATGCAAATAGAAAAGGAAAAGAGAAAAGACAGAGTAGAGGCAAATAAAACAAATAAGGTACATAAACCAGAGTACTTACAGAACCAAATCCTCCTGATATGAGAAACTAGAGTTCAGAGGAGAAGGTTTAGGCTGAGAGGATAGTAGGGGTGGGGCGGAAAGAGGCAGTGAAGGAGATGTTTGGGTTAAATTTTTTTTTCTCAAATGGTGAGGGGGCGCCCTGAATAGGATGTATGGCCAGGTGACATAAATTCCAGATTGTTAAATGTTGTATGGTAACTGGGCCCATTGACTGGCAAAGCCAATGTCCCAGGTGTTCCCAATCATCTAGCTTAAGGGAACCAGATTTTGGGTACCAAGGGCATTGCTTGTCAACCATCCAGAGGAAGTCAGTGAGTTGAGATGTAGGGGGTACTTTGTATCCTGCGACCTGTAGGAGGTCACGTAATTGTAAAAGATGATCTTTTTGTTACTTAGAGAGGTCTACTACGCTCATCGAGAAAGAAAGAAAGCTGTTCCTCCCGAAAGCAAAGCAAGATGTTCAGCTCCACCACGAACGTGATGGGAAAACCCCAACCGCCCATTGTGCCCTTACCGGGTGATGAGGCCATCCAAAATCCCTTCTCGGGCTTAGGGGAGCTGCTTCCTGATGTCCTGAAAACTCCTCACACGGGGCACAATTTGTCATACTACCAACCAGAGATGCCAAGAATGGAGACAGAGATGCAATGCAGAGAACAGGGAAGAGGACTAACAGTGAACAGTCTGACCCCGCATCCTCACTGACTTCAGTCTTTTATTAGAGATAACAGAGGAACAGGTGGTAGGAAATAACAAGCCCACCCCTAAGGCTAAGGGATAAATGCTTAGTCTAAGAGTTGTTTTTTAGCTCAAGAGGAGCAAAACAGTTCCAAGGACATTGGCTGAGTACACACTGATTTCAGTGTGGTAAGCATGCAACCTCTCTCAGTTAACCCTTAGTTGACCGCTAAGATTTTGCTCAGGCAGCAACCTTCCAATCTTAGTTCTGGGGGCCTATGTAGGGGAATCCCTAATGCGTCCCTAAAATGGTCCAAGGGGAAAAAATAAATTACAAGTTGAATATAATTCTTTAGGTTTTCCTACACACAAATCAACTCATTGATTCAGGTTAACTACTAAAATACCCCCAATGATCAAGACAGTTATTCAGTCATATGCATACAGTGCATCCTATACAAAACCACAACTGAATTTACAGAGGTGCAAACACATGCACACACACTCCAACACTCAAACATATAGTCCCAGACATTCACATAGGTCTACAATTAAGTTCACATACTTGCCACTGTGCGCTTACTTTGGCAGCACTATAAAAACAGTTTGGTAAGGTTTCATAACCTTTGTATATCAGAGTCTCAGAGACTTGTTCATATCCACAAGTGGCGGTGTCTTGCTGAGTGGTGTTCATTATTTTTCCGTGTTTTTGTGTGCTGTCACAAGAATGTCTGAGCTCCAGCATGAGCGGCCGGTGCTGGCATGAGCTGCCATGAGCAGCCATTCAATGGCTTGTGACAGATTGCCTCATCTGGGGAGAGCACAATGATCACAATACCAACATGGGCCAGTGAAGCAACTAGATTGAAGAACAAAAAAAGGACAGCAACTTGTCTGTTCCAATTCCCCAATGCTGTTTCCCTCCCCCATTTGTCTGTTCCCGTTCACCAATTTCCCAATAAAATCTTTAAAAAGAACGCCTGAGCTTGAACAAACATTAAATTTCTTGTTAAATTTGGAAAGCGTGAAAATGAAATCAGGGAAAAGTTAGTCCAAGTTTATGGGGATAATGCCATGAAAAAAACGGCAGTGTACAAATGGATTAAACATTTTTCTGAGGGGAGAGAACACATCACTGATGAGAGATCAGGGCCAGTAATGAGCAGAACTTATGAAAACATTGCAAAAATTCATTGAATTGCAGCTGACTGTGAGAAGTATAGTAGACCAATTAAACATCGATAGAGAAACAGTTAGGAGAATCTTAACTGAAAATCTTGCAATGAGAAAGATGTGTGCAAAAATGGTCCCAAATGCACTCACTGATGAACAGAAGCAAAGGAGAGTCAAAGTTTGCCAAGACGTTTTGGAGTGGCAAGATGATGTTTTGGGCCATGTTATCACTGGTGATAAAACATGGATGTACCAATACGACCCTGGAACAAAGCATCAAAGTGCACAATGGAAGTCAGCCAATCCTCCATGACCAAAAAAAATTCATCAGTCCAAATCAAGAGTCAAAACAATGTTGCTAACCTTTTTTTTGATATCAAAGGGATTATTTACTATGAATATATACCAACTAGAACAGTTAACCAAGTTTACTATTTGGAAGTGCTGAAAAGGCTACATGAAAAAGTTAGATGAAAATGACCTGAACTTGTTGCCAACAACTCATGGCTCTTGCAAAACAACAATGCACCAGCTCACACAGCACTGTCTGTGAGGAAGTTTTCAGCCAATATTGGAACACCCTCCTTACTCATCTGATGTGGCCCCTATTGACTTCTTTCTTTACCTGAAGATAAAGAAATTATGGAAAGAAAGACATTTTGATAACATTCAGGACATTAAGAGTAATACGATGACAGCTCTGATGGCCATTCCAGAAGAAGAGTTCAAAAATTGCTTACAAGTGTAGACTAGGTGCTGGCTTTGGTGCATAGCTTCCCAACGTGAGTACTTTGAAGGTGACTGGAGTGATATTCAGCAATGAGGAATGTAGCACTTTTTGTAGGATGAGTTGTCAAACTTAATTGTCACACCTACACAGCATCAGTTACTCACCTGTTCAATTTTCAATTGCACACTCACAAACATTAATGCACAAATCAGTGCACACTCACCTAAGCTCACAATTACACTCTGATATACACAGTCACCATGCATGTGTTTAAATCAATAACATGATCTTACGTAGAGGAATCGTATCTCCAAATTTCTGGTGAAGGGACCCCGGTCCAGACCCTAGACCGGACAGATTCACGTTAAAAAAATCATACTTCAGCTACTCCAGCAAGACTCTAAGCAGAACTTCCCGTTAAGACAGTAAACGCCTAGCTTTACAAGAAATGGGTTGCAACAGAAATATTAACAATGTTTTACAGAAGTAGTCTTGTCACAACTGGATTGGACCATTTCACAAAAACTAACAGCTCTTTTTGCTTCTGTACATCTGCTTTGCTTCTGCCGGGGAATAAAAGGTTAAAGAAAAAACATTCCTCAGGTCCCCCTTCCTCCCCTTGCTTCTATCTTAACATACCAAAAGGCCTCACAGCAGTAAACTCAGCCCCTCAGTCTATCTTAACATACCAAAAGGCCTCACAGCAATAAACTCTCCCCTCGCTTTTATTTTAACATATCAAAAGGACAGTTGACTCCCATGGCCTCTATCTTTATACTTCAAAGAAGTTTTCAAGTTTAGGGGACAGGTTGTGTGGTCAGCTCAACCCAGTCACGATATACTGTTAAGACATCTGAACATAAAGGCACTGTTGTGATAGCGGGATGCGGTTTTAACTGGAATAACTGCACATTCTTTTTGGCTTCTGCAACTTACTTTGCATATAGCCCTGCCTTATAAAAACCAGACCCCCGAGTCTGGGGTACCGTTTTTTCCTTTAGCTGGGGAGACGGTCGCTGAGCTCAGCTTAATAAAATCTTCCGAACCCTAATTTGACATCCAGCCTCTTTGTTAATTGTCTGGACTTAACACTGGAAACCTGAAAAGGGAGGTCTGTCCACTCTTTAAGTCCCTTTAATTGTGCAACAATCACCAGGACAATATTTATTATAAAGAACAGTACTGAAAATGTGCTGTGAGTATTGCCTGCTTACATTAAGACACATGCTGGGAACCTTGGAGTTTTGGGGACAGTGACCCTGTGTGGTGTAGCCTCCCAACTGACAAGCCGACAGCTCCCGCCTGCTGACCCCATGAAGTCAGAAGGAAGTGTCTTGGAATACTGAGAACTGAGGGAATGATCTCAGTAAGGCTTCCTTATCAGATGGTCTCAGAATGCTGAGTCCATCTCCTGGGGTCGTGTGTATGTGTGTGTGTGAAGACACAATAAGTACTGGAGCACACTGGAGCATCCGGAAGACAGTTGTTAGATACACAGATTTAACAGATTGGAATTTCTTGCCTTGTAAATTTAGAGAATAAAAGCTTTGCACCCTCCTGATTTGGGGCTCAGTCCTAGAGGCTTGAGACCCCTGGCCCGCATGAACTCAATACTTGGCTCTTGTATTTCTTAACCCTGTGCCGCCCCTCTTTCACTCCCCAGCCTTTGTTGCACAGGATGCGACATCTGGCGCCCAACATGGGCAACAAGAGGGAAGGACGACTGTGAGTCGGAACTGAACGAAAAATTCATGGCATGGGGCTCGGGAGGCGTCGCGACAACTACACGGAACACGGTAGGGAAGATCCCTGGAATTTAAACCAGGGTAATGGGGAATTCTGCAGCCAATACAGACCTTATATTTGCTTACTCAAGCAACTCCTCAAGGCTAGAGGAGTTTGGGCGTCAAAACAGAAATTAGAGGAGCTTTTAAAAGTCATTCAGACTCAGTGTTCTTGGTTTCCAACTTTAGGGACACTAGATTTAAAAACATGGGAGAAAGTAGGCACTGAACTCTGTGAGTTATGTCCTAAAGGAGTTTCTCTGCCGGTTACAATTTGGAAAACCTGGCAACTAGTCCAGTCGGTTTTAGAAAATTTGCAAACTGACGCGGAAGAAGCAGGGGAAGAGGACGATCCAAGATCCGACAATGAAGAGGAGAAACCTGAGGGCAGGGAGAAGGAATCTGTGGAGGCACCCACAGTTATCCTGAAATCGTTGTCTCCAGCTTTGGGAAATTGTCTGGAGGGCTGTAGTTCGCCTCCAGCCTGTTTGCCTCCGCCTCCGTCACCGCCGCCGTCATGGCATGGGAGTGAACTCCCAGGCCACCGGCGAAAAATGTAACCTTTCTTTCTCCACCGCTCACCCACCTCCCCCTCCTACGAGAGGCTCACAGGCGCCACTTTCAGCAGTAGAAAGAGGTGTCCGGCAAGCGCGATTGGAGGGAGATTTGGACGCTTTCGCTTTCCCTGTTATCATTCATGAGCGGGGAGTTGGAACGGAGCAATACAAAGCCACGATGTTAGCCCAAGCCATGGCAGGAATAAGATTTGAACAAAATAGATTTCCCAGCGGTTGTTATAATTGTGAAAAATCTGGTCATACTAGAAAAGAATGCCAAAAGAAAAATAGAAACGGCTCCCGCCCACCTAATACCTCTGCTCTTCCAGGGCCTAGACAACCTGGGCTGTGCCTTAAATGCCAAAAAGGAAATCACTGGGCCTGCTGAATGCAGATTTGCTTTTCATAAGAATGGCACTCCGCTTCAGGAAAACGGGAGGCGGGGCCGGCTCCAGCCCCGACAACAACCAGGGTATACATGACACAGGATATGCCTCAAAATTATCAGGCTGTACCCCCCCCCCCCCCCCCCCCCCCCCGCGCTCACTGTTTAACAACTGAGTCCAGCAACGGAGGGGAGTGCTGTGTAGATATCTGTTCAGCATAAACTGGCTCAAGAGTGTGAGCTCTAGCTCTGGTCTCATACAGAACCAGTGCACAAGATATGTTATTGCTTCCTGGAGACCCCCCCCCCATGTGTCCACGGGAATTTTTGTCCCGATTTTTCCTAATACTGTTGGACTTCTCCTTGGTTGTTCTAGTTTCACTTCCAAGGGAGTCACTGTTCATACTGGAATAATTGTTTCTGACTATGAGGGATACATTCAAATTATAATGTCTTCA